GACTGAGATATACTGGCTTTTGGGATGAATCAATAAGGTTATTTAATTTGCTATAATAAACTAAGTAAATCCAAGGGAAATCTAAGACAATGCTGACCCCCTCCAATCCCTTCAAATCGAGAGATAATTCATTATTATTTTTGTAATGTTTTGTGTAAGGAATTATTCTAAGGAAGGTTTAGATGTACTCATATATAACCGAGCATGGCAATGTCTTATTATTATATTATGTATTTGTATATTTGGGTACGCCTGGATACAGACATTTCAAGAATGTGTTCAATACAACTATGTGTTTACAATAAGTACAATAAGATAAAAGGGAAATAAGGGGAATGAAGGAAGAGAAAGGAAGGAGAGAAGGAAAAAAAAAGTAACTTGATAATTTATATCTAAATGTATTAAGTATGTACTTATATTTGTTAAAATTATGAAATAAGAATTTTAAAAAAATATATACTTTTATTTATTTTTTAATTTTTATGTTTTGTTTTCATCTACACACCTCGTACCACCAACATGAATCCAAATATAACCATACGGATATTCTTAATAACCTTTTTCTCTCTCCAACTTTGTTCACATCACTACCGCCATAGGCACACACCTCAAACTGGAACACAAATTATCATACACCATGGCCTGCTCTGTTCCTGTAACTTATCTGCTGAGTGCTGGTGGAGAGTTCTAAAAAATAGCCCTCCTACCCACCTCACAAAATTATAAAGTATCCCATTCACTATATGGCCAAAAAAATGATGTCCAAATTCCTACTCCTTATGTAACTTGCCCTCGCAAATGATCTCCCGGCTAATTCTAGCCCTAATGTCCCCACTCAAAAAGGCCTCTCTTTTGTGCACTGTAACATCCGTAGCTTACTCTTTAAACTGGATGCACTGCAAGCCTGGTGTTACCATTACAAACCAAAAATCATTGTGCTCTCAGAATCATGGTTAACGACTAAAATACCAGACACCAACATTGCAATACAGGGGTATTCATGTTTTAGAAATGACAGAGCAAAGAGACGAGGAGGCATTGTTATTTATTTGACAATTCCATACAATTTACTCCTTTAAAAAACTATAACTCCCCTGCCGCAATTGATTTCTTT